GTATGATCGATGTACTAAATTTGAATGAAAACTGACAAAGCATGTCCAAAATACGACATTTTCAAAAAAAACAAGATGGCTGCCAGTCGGCCATCTTTGATCCAATTGTGAAATAAATCGTCATGGACATGTATCCTAACATGTATAATCTATGTACCAAATTTGAATGAAAACTGACAAAGCATGTCCAAAATACAACATATTCAAAAAACAAGATGGCTGCCAGTCGGCCATTTTGAATCGAATCGCTAAACCACTAAAGGTGCATATGTCCCAGATAAAGTACTAGGCACATGCAAAGAATGAACGGAATCGGTGCAAGGGATTCTGAGATATGACTCCGGACGGACGCACGCACGGACGCACGGACGCACGCACGGACGCACGGACGCACGGACGGAGACCGAATTATAAGTCCCCGTTTTCGGACTTCGTCTGAACGGGGGCTAATAACATGTACACATTACAACAGGAACATAACATGTACTAATTACCACATGTACGTATGCTTGTCCTGGTACTGTTCAACACATTTTGTTGAGACTGATATAAATGGTTAATGAAATAATTATTGACAAGTCTCGGTGGCGCTAAACTTCGTCGTTTTTTGGTTGTTCGTTGTACACTTCCTGCACGGCGCGAGAAGTTTTAAAAATATGCTAATTCTATTCGACGGAATCCGAAATTTCGACCAGAATCCGAAATTGTGACCGGAATCCTCAGGTGCAGCCAATGGAGCTGTTGATCGGAAAAGCTGTTCCAAGGGATTTTTGTTGAGAGCAGGGGAGTTTTTCTATTTTTTGCCCAGTGAGCAGGGCAGATTTCTAAAAAAAATGCAAGGACAGGGAAACTTTTCTTTAGTGGGTAGGGTACTTACATAAAAAAATATCACAGGGTGGGCAAAACAGCCTTTAGGGCAGGGTATAATAAAAAAACGCATTGGGGGAAATGCTAAATGTGGGCATGTTGTTCAAAGTCGTCATCTTATGAGACCCATATCTCGCGTATGCTTGGCGCGACGAACACCGCCCTTTAAGTTTCACTTAAAACATAATAGGTAAAACTTTAACACACGTGCATGCCCGACTGAAATATAGTCTGGAAACAATTTACTGGTACAGTGTATTTTGCCGCCAAAATATGTGACTTGCTGAGCTTTCCCCTACAATTAGATCAATTATTTAAAAACTAATCTACGAACTGTTTATAAATTGGAATGAAATTCCTCTTATAATTTAAAATATTACATTTTAATGCAATTTCTGATTCCGGCCTCAATTCTGGGATTCTGCTTTTTAGGGTTTGTCTTAAATACACACCGGTGCGTGTCTGTGTTTTGACCCCATTTTCATGAGATTTTCGGTCATTGGCAAATAAAGCCTATTTTGAACCAAATAGCGTCCTCAACGTCATCTGTTTTGCCTAGTTTTCAACTAGCCGTGAAACTTATGTATTTTAATAAATTATTAAATAATAAAATGTTATATAACTTTTCTTTTACCCCCCCCCCCTTTCCT